CTGGACTCAGGTTCAGGGCTCTATTTTTAGACCACTTGTTGGAGTGGGGCTTCTGGAATCTGCCTGAGGCCTGAGGTGTAACCAGACCCCGCTGGCACTGGCCTTGAGCCCTAGCCGGGCAGAGAGGCGGTGAGGGGTTCCCGGGGCCGTGCCCCAGAGAGGTGGTGTACCAGGGCAGGGAGACCCTCCGCTGAGATTTGGAGGTGGGGGGCTTTCTCTCCCAGGGCACAAGGGGCTCCTACAACTTGACCCACCTGAGACCCTCCTTTGACCACTGGGCCCAGAAAGGCCAAGGTTACCAGCAGGAGGTCAAACCCACGTCCTCACAAAGCAGTCAGGCTGCCAAACTCTGGAAAGATGAAGAGAAATGATTGTGGCCTTCTCTTTGCTCTGGCTTTCTCTCCCATCCTGTGTGCACATCCTCCAGCTCCCAGCTCATGCTCTGGAGAGCTCCCCACTGTCCATGGCCTGCAGATGGGATCCACTGTTGTTTGTTTGTGCAGACTCTTTACTGCCGCATGAAGCAATGTCCTCTAGTTGCTGCACATGGGAGCTTAGTTCCCTGAGTCCTAACCACTGGACCACCAGGGAAGTCCCAGGATCCAGATTTGTTTGACCACAAATAACTGGAAAAAATGTTTAATTGTGGTAAAATACACACAACATAAAACGCACCATCTTGACTATTCTTAAGTGTACCACTCAGTGGCATAAAGTACATTCTTATTGTTTTGCAACCGTCACCAGCTCCAGAACTTTCTCATCTTCCCAAATTAAAACTCTTATCCTATTAAACCCTAATCCTTTAACCTCTCTCCCCCCACCCCTACCCTTGACTATTCTAGAGACTTCGTACGGCAAAACTGGACAGTCGCTGCCCACTTTGGTCAGCTCCCTTGGCCCCTCTCTCCCATGCTCCCCATTTTTCTTTCATTTTTATTTTTTTAAGTATTTATTTGGCTGTGTGGAGTCTCAGTTGCATCATGTAGGACCTTTTAGTTGCAGCGGGTGAACTCTTAGTTGCGGCTTGTGGGAACCTGGGCCCCCTGCCCTGGGAGCATGGACTCTAAGCCACTGGACCACCAGGGACGTCCCTATGTGCCCCGTTTCTCTCCTCCGGGCTGACTCTGCCTGCCCCTGAGGGCTCTGATGTGCCCCCCGCTTCCGCCCAAATCAAGTATCTTTACTCTGTGTCAGAAACATGGTGATCTCACGTACCCATCGCTGCACACTGTGACGTGGCTGCTACTGTGAGCCCCATTGTACAGATGAGGAAACTGAGGTCAGGACAAGGAAGGCTCAACCACCCTGCCTGCCAGTCAGCAGGTTCATGTTTCTGTCGTGAAACCGTGCGTCCTGCTTGTCTATTTGATAAATATCTTATTGGCGCACTCCAGGCTCCCTCTTGAGGAAAGTGAGTTATACACAAGAGATTGAAATCTAAACCTCAGAAGCCAACGTTCCGTGTCTTAGTTTTCCCATCTGTACAATGGGGATCATGGACAGGTGCTACCTCTCAGAATAGCGACGAGGATGAAATGACGTCAGGACGGTAAGGATGAAATGAAACGGAACAAGTACTGAGCAAAGGCTAGCTGCTGACACTATCACCTAAATATAGAGAGATTATTCTGTAAAGTATGAAATGCCCAGTGACTGGAAATGATGCTTATGGAGAGTATGTAGTAACGGAAAAATGCTTATTATGTATGAGAGAATAAAAGGCCTGAAATCAAAACAAATGAACTCATGCACTAAAAAGGCTCACAGGAAACACACCAAAATACCATCTGTCGTTCATTTTAGTTCTGGGATTCGGGGGAAAAAAAGAAGCATAATCCTCTTCAAACTGATCTGCAGGTGCAAAGCGATCCCAGCAGAGTTCCCACCGGCTTCTCAGCAGAAATTGACAAGTTGATCCTAAAGCTTGTGTGGAAATGCAAGAGACCCAGAACAGCCAGAACAAACTTGGAAAGAAGGAACATGGCCAGAGGGCTGGGCCCCAGGTGATGCTGTCAGGGCTGAGCTGAGAGCTGAGTGTTGAGAGAACACAGCCAAGACTATCAGGAATATTCCCTACTTTCTTTCCTTGAGGTGTAGGAGTTGAGTTGGAAAATCCCAGAAATGAGAAAACGTACAAGTCCTGAGGAATTCTCTAGTCTCACAGTTTCCAAAAGATTTTCACCAGACCACAGTTATTGGAGGGCAAAGGATATCCAGTAAGATGTTCATAAAGCTTCATTTTTTTTTCATTTTAAGGCCCATTTTGTTTGATGATATGTCCCTGCTTTTTTGATTTGGGACTACTATCCTTTCTGTTATAAAACAATGCTGAGAGTTGATTTTTTTGTTATTCTTTAAAAATAATTTTATCTATGTATTGACTGTGCTGGGTCTTCGCTGCTGCTCAGGCTTTTCTCTAGTCGCTGTGAGCAGGGGCTACTCTCTAGTTGCGGGGGTGGGCTTCTCACTGAGGGGGCTTCTCTTGCGGAGCACAGCCTCCAGGGCGCAGGCTCGATGGTTGTGGCACATGGGCTGAGCTGCTCCGAGGCAAACGGCATCTTCCGGGATCAGGGCTCGAACTGGATCTCGACGCTGACGGGCAGGCAGACTCTTTACCACTGAGCCTCCAGGGCAGTCCTGTTTTTTTTTTTTTTTTTTTAAATTTAATGGGCAAAGTAAGGAGTTGGTAGCTCTCCTTTTCTCACTTGATACAAATATTCTGTAACTCTGAGAAATCCCAAAGCTGAGAAATACCGGGAAAAACTGCAGCTGCCTCAGGGATGCTCTGCCTGCCGTGGGGACTGGCCTGCCGAGCTCTGTAGGGCAGCCTGGCACCAGGAGAACACAGGCCTGGGGCCCACTCACACTCTGCCCCTGACTTGCTGTGGGAACCTGACAAGTTATTCCATGTCCTTGAGTCTGTTTCTCCACCTGCAGAAAGAGGGGGATGCACGTATCTCAAGACTGTCGTGAAAATTCAACCAACACAGTGGACCGGGACCTGCGGAATCACTTGAGAAAGTGTCCTTCAGAGTCTATAAGCTCAGAGAAGGTCCGCATTTTTCTCTTCTGCTGCTTGAAGAGTCCTCAGTTCTCTAATTATTCTTTATATCCACACTGTGGTTTCTTCTTCTGTGTCTTCTCTAGTTTGTCACTGTCACTCTTGACATGTGAATCTAGAACACATTCTATCGGTGTGGCCTGACTGTGCACAAGAGAACAAACATACTCTCACCTCCTTCAATCTAGACTCTATACCTTGATTAATGAAACCCAACTTTACCATGGATTTTTTTGTGCTCTTATCTCACTTCTTTGGTATTTACTGAGCTAAGAATATCTAACAGCTCTAGATCTTTTTTCACAAGAATATTTGTAAAACCCTGTCTCCTATTCCAAACCTGTGCAATTGAAGTCTTGGACCTAAAATGACAGGCTTTTTGCATTTATTCCCTTTTAGAGTTTGTCCAGTGGGAAAAGGTAACCCTCTGACTCAATGGGGTCAGAGAAGACCCCAAATGTATTCTCACACTCGAGAAACCCAAAGGAATACTTAGCTGACTCTCTGTAGTCTAGGGAAGAGAGAGTCTATTTGAATCTTGATGGAGTCCAAGGGTAGCAGGGCTGGCCCTGGATGAGCCAAGGGAAGGAGCCTGATGCTGTGGCTTTAGTCCCCCAACATCTCACTTATATCAGGGTCACCCCAGGGGCCCAACATGGTGCTCCCTGGCCTCAGAGCAGTGGGCCAGGATGGCCTGGGGACTTGAGAGAAATCACAAGCCCAGACAGATGACAGCATGCAGGGCCCAGGGGCTCCTACTGTCTCCAGACAGGAGTCATGTCCCAGGATCCCCCTGCTGATCCAGGCCCCTGTGAAGGGCACAGGCCTGCAACCTCCCCACTCCTGCCATCATCCTGGCATCTGGGTTTCATGCCGACGCTGCCCGAGGGACACCTCAGCCCAGCTGGTGCCAACGTTCACACCACATGGAAGGCAAAGTGCTTTCTTTATTGCTCTAGTGTGGCCCTCCCGCGTGTCTCCCAGGACGCCACTCTGTCCTCGTGGGTGGAGAGGATGCGGTGGTGGTCACACCGGGGCCTGGCCTCAGTCAGTCTTCCTGACGCCTGGAAGGCAAAGCCCACAGGATGGCATGGGATTCCGAAGGCAGCCAGGCTTCCTCCCCACTGTTACCCCAGAGGCGCAAATGCCCCTAACAGCTGACATGAGGCAGTCATGACCCACAGCCATTACAGCTAGTGTCCCCTTTAGCATCAGATAGATTAAAGGAGATGGAAGTCTCCGACCTAGAGACACACAGCCCCTGGCCAGTCAGTTTCCGATGTAATGGTAGGCACAGAACTGCTGGTCAAGAAAAAGGATCTCCTCTAGCCCTGCCCAGCCACTCTAGCTGTGTGATTCTGTCCTAGTCACTCTACCTCTCTAAGCCTCAGTTTCCTCACTGGTCAAGTGTAGGAGAACTAAAACCCACTCCCAACCCGAGTTGCTATTAAGCAAATAAAATCACAGAGACGATACCGTTTGGAGAGGCTCAAAGTTCTCTGAGCGAATGAGGAATACCCAGGTTCCCTGTACTTTTCCACAGTGGTTCACACCGAAGGACTTTTGCATCTGTTCCTCACTTGATATTTACAACACCTTTGTGCTGTAGGTATGATGACACCCATTTTGCCAGCTGAGGAAACTGAGGCTAAAAGAGGCTCCCCAGAAATAGGAGATTGGAGGAGGTAGGACTTGAACATGGACATGAACTTGAGCAAACTCTGGGAGATGGTGAGGGGCAGGGAAGCCTGGCGTGCTGCAGTCCATGGGGTGGTGAAGAGCTGGACACGCCTGAGCGGCTGAACGACAACAGCAACAGGCCTTGAACCCAGGCCCTCGCCTCCAGGCTCTGCCTCTTTCCTACATGCTAAGGCTCATTTGCAACAGAAGACCCCAGCGGGGAGAGACAAAGTGAGCAGAGGGAGGTGAGTGTTACCTATCAGCCGAAACTTCTGGAAGAAGGGGATGAAGCCATGCAGCACGCTGTGTATTCGGTACACTGCCAGAAACAGAGAGAAAGGTGATGGTGCCCTGTGCCCCCTTCAGGGACCCCAGGGGCAGACCTCCCCCTGCCCACTCTGGGACAAAGGCCTCACCCATACAAACAAAGCTCTGATGGAATTTCAGGCAGCAGGTTAAGCTTAGATAATAGGCCTGAGTTATTATTATTGAAAACAACCCTGAACAGCAGTAACAATGCCAGGAAATGAGGCGAATTCAGCACCCCACTCCATTAACTGCCTTGTTTTCAGTGTCTGGCTAATTCTGTTTGTTTGCCACTTTCAACTGTTTCTGTTGTATTTTCATGGAGCTGCCCATTTTTTTCCATGGGGTGGTGCCAACGACCTCTCATTGACCTTGAGAGCGGTAGGTCAGGAAGCAAACACGATCATAAAGAAATCTTTACAAAATATTTAGGTCATGGCTTTCCGGCCCTTGGCGAGCCTCTGTGAGGAGCTGGCCCAGCCACTGCCCCCACACCAGACTCTGCCTGTGATGGGGCCTTACCCAGGCCGAAGTAGATGCCAACAGTCTCCAGGGAGGCAAAGGTGAGCAGGCCGACCCCAAGGGACATGAACCAGTCTGCAGGGGCAGCAAGGGAGAGAATGATCAGCCTGCAGATCCAGACCCCCGCCCCCTATTCCCACGCCGCAGCCCCCACTCACCTGTGTAATAGTGATAGCACACCAGCAAGGCCCCAATGGCAAAGCAGAGGAGGATGAAATGGAAAAACTCATCTGTCAAGGCAGAGGCGGGGTTACTGTTTACCTTTCTCTCTCTTCCGAATTAACTGAAAGTATTCTTATCTCTGCTCAAAGGGAGCTTTATTCGCTGTTCCAGGGCCTTCCCTGGCAGCCCAGTGGTTAAGACTCCGAGCTTCCTCTGCAGGGAGCTTGGGTTTGATCCCTGGTTGGGGAACTAAGAGCCCTTGTGCTGCCAGCGTGGCCGAAAATAAAACCATGGTCTCCCTTCCTACCCTCACCCTTCTCCTTGAGACCCCCATGATTGCAGGCCTATAGCTGAGAAGGTCCCACCAGTTCTCATAACTTCTTCCCTAGAGTCCAGCCCACCCAGTCACTGCTCCCCATCATGGCCGTAAGGCCTGGAGGGCAGTTCTCATCCTGGTGACTCCGTGTACAACAGAAAGAGCACATGACCAGGGTCCAAGCCCAAGTCGTGCCCCTCACTAGCTGACCCTGAGCCTCAGTCTCCATATCTGCAAAATGGGCATCACTGGACTACCCTCTCAAGGTGATTCCAAGCTGAGGAGTTTGTGAACTGCAAGGCCGGTGACAGAGGTAGGCTGTGATTACTTTTGTTCCAGGCCACCAGCTGACTTCCTCCCCAGAGAAATTGGAATCAGACAGCGGTGACAGCCCTAGAACCTCAATTTTCTTACCGTCCTTCTTTATATTCAGTCTTCTTAGCTGAGAGGCCTCCACTTCTCCTTGGGAACAAGAGAGAGATGAGTGTTTAATGGAACAACTCGGGGATCCTCTCTGAGGAGGCCTCACTGAGAAGGGCTCTCCCGGGTTCTAGTTCCTGGGTCAGAGGGCGCTCACTTCAGGGTGGTCAGGGCAAAGCTGGAAGGTGGGGCGACTGTCCTTGGACCCCCACTGACGCCCTCCTCCTCCACAGGCCTGAGTCTGTTCTGCTCCACATCCCCTGAGCCCGGAGGCCCCTTTCCTGGGTCACATGACAGCCTGGGTGGTAATGGCATCGCTGCTGGAACAGACTCCCACTCCCACCTCCCAGGCCGTCCCAGGCCTTGGAATCCAGGCCACCTCCCGCTACCCGCGTATTTACCACTCGCGGGAGTAGAGCCTCTCCTTCGGAGTCCTGGAAATTAGAAACTCAACATTAGTGCCCAGGCCAGCCTGGGTCCTTAACAGATGTCACAGGTGACCTCTGAAAATGCCCCTGTCGGATTCTCCAGTCCCCAGGGGATCTTTCTATCTATAGACTGTTATCAGTAATCCCTTTGCTCTTGCCTGGACCCCCTTTCTCACCTCCCCTGGCCCTCCTCATACCACAGCCAGCCCTGCCAGCCTGCTGAGCCCAGGTCAGAGCCCCTGCCCAGAGTGGACATGGGGTCCCATCTTTCGCAGTCATGCATCTGACAGCAGCTGGCTGTCTCGGGGGAAAGATGATGTCCAGACCTCATCAACACCAGCACCGATGACCCCCCGCCCCTAACAGACACTCACCTGATTCTCCTGAAGGCACCATGTCCCTGGGGGCACCTGCACAGAACAGAAATCAGTGATTGTATACTTGTGTGCTCTGGGTGGTAAGAAGTTACGCCCCAGGGAAGGTGGAACTCTCTCACCCAGAGGCTTTCCAGTGATCTGCAGGGCGCACTGGAGCAAACTGGCGGGCTCCTTTTCCATCTAAAGGGACTGGTGCCACGCAGCAGTCCTGAGAGCCGCCGCAATAACACCTGCCCCGTGTTACAGGTCTCCTAACGTCCCACGAGAGGCTAGAAATTCAGGTTTTCACACAAACTTCTGGACTATCAAAAAGTTGGCAACTCACATTCCATCCAACCAAAAATGTCATAGTTTGTGAGAATGGCGTCATTTTATGGAAGGAAAATTATAGCCAATTATAACTGTGGGTTGCCAGTGATTTTAAGATGCACCCCGATTTCACAGATGTCCAGATGTGAAAAACTATTAGTCGCAGAATTGAATTGATGAAATATATTAAGAATAATGGGGATTGCCAGGTGGCTCAGTGGTAAAGAATCCGCCTGACAATGTAGGAGATGCAGGAGACGTGGGTTCCATCCCTGGGTCAGGAAGATCCCCTGGAGGAGGGCATGGCAACCCACTCCAGTATTCCTGCCTGGAAAATCCCATGGAGAGAGGAGCCTGGTGAGCTACAGTCCATGGGGCCACAAAGAGTCGGACACAACTGAGTATGGACGCACCATTAAGAATAATAATAAAGACATGCTGGGATCTGGGTAAAACACATCTGCACACACAGGCCACCAGTTTGCAGTTTGCACCTAATCATTGCTCTCCTGACACAGGTGAGGACACTTAGGCCTGCGCCCCCAGCCTCCTCAGGCCCAGAGTTTACAAGCCAAGCTGGGTTGTATGCTGGGGGCCCTGGACCCCAACCGCAGTGTCAGACTCTTTGTCGGGGCTGCCCAGGATGAGTCGAGCCCTGTTCCTGCGCTGACCTGCGGCCTCCTCTTTAATCTGGCCTGGGCGGCCCTCCACCTCATCACCCTTGGTTCTTGGGGCCTCTCCTACCCCCAGTGACTTCTCGCCTCGCCTCAGGCAGGAGCCCCCACTCTGTACACTCCCCTCCTCCAGGTCAGCCTTAGGACACAAACACCTGCTCATGGCAACGAACATCCAGGATGCTGAACTGTCTCCAGGGCTGATGTGCAAACAGGAACCACTGTCTGCAAGTGATCAGAGAGGCCGGCACCGAGGGGACAGAGAGCAACCAAGGACAGCATGAAATGCGACCCCCATAGTGTAATCACCAAGTACTGCCAATGTCACGGGGGCAATTCATTACTTGGAGGAATTAACTCTCAAATACATGATGATATTTATGTTTTCAACAGTGAATATGACTTACTTTTTGAAGAGAAAAAAACATTTAAAATGTGTGTGTGTGTGTTGCTAAGTCACTTCAATAGTGTCCGACCCTCTGCGACCCCATAGATGACAGCCCACCAGGCTCCCCCAGCCCTGGGATTCTTTCTCTCTCTCTTTTTTTTTTTCCATTTATTTTTATTAGTTGGAGGCTAATTACTTTACATCATTGCAGTGGTTTTTGTCATACATTGAAATGAATTAGCCATGGATTTACATGTATTCCCCATCCCGGTCCCCCCTCCCACCTCCCTCTCCACCCGATCCCTCTGGGTCTTCCCAGTGCACCAGGCCTGAGCACTTGTCTCATGCACCCAACCTGGGCTGGTGATCTGTTTCACCATAGATAATATACATGTTTCGATGCTGTTCTCTTGAAACATCCCACCCTCGCCTTCTCCCAGAATCCACAAGTCTGTTCTATACATCTGAGTCTCTTTTTCTGTTTTGCATATAGGGTTATCATTACCATCTTTCTAAATTTCATATATATGTGTTAGTGTACTGTAACGGTCGTTATCTTTCTGGCTTACTTCACTCTGTATAATGGGCTCCAGTTTCATCCATCTCATTAGAACTGATTCAAATGAATTCTTTTTAATGGCTGAGTAATATTCCATGGTGTATATGTACCACAGCTTCCTCATCCATTCGTCTGCTGATGGGCATCTAGGTTGCTTCCATGCCTGGGATTCTCAAGGCAAGAACACTGGAGTGGGTTGCCATTTTCTTCTCCAGTGCATAAAAGTGAAAGTGAAGCCGCTCAGTCATGTCCGACTCATAGCAACCCGATGGACTGCAGCCTTACCAGGCTCCTCCGTCCATGGGATTTTCAGGCAAGAGTACTGGAGTGGGGTGCCATTGCCTTCTCCAGTGTATATATATATATATATATTTTCTCATTTTACATCCAATGAAAACTTTCTTGCATGACCTGAGCAGTTAGAAACATTTTTTTCCTAAATCGGATGATGCCTGTTTTTGTTAAAAAGAAAGAAAATCAGAAAACTCAAAGATGGTATGACAATTAAGTACAATGCCGCCACCCAGTGGCAGCCACTGGTAATAGCTTGATGCAGAACACTAAGACGTCTCATTTACATTTCTTTGAATGTCTATGTTTCCTGTTGTATTCCTTGGGTTATTATCAGGAGTTAGGAGACCACGCAGATTATGGAACTGCTGGATTAAACAAAGTTAAAACAGACTTTCTTATCTGGCAGGGTGCATTTGTGAGGCTTTCTGGTAAACTAGTTCATTCCTACAAATTCCTCCAACTCATCACAGTGCTACCAAGCAAAGTGGCATGATATTTACATCTGCTTGCTGTAAAAGTGACAATGCTTAGAGGCAATTAGTCTATAATGTAAGTCTTGTACTGATCAGGTCCTTAATTTTCCCATGCATGCTTAAACAACCCAGTATTCCAAGACAGACAGTACTGATCAAGCTCCATCTTGCTGGTTGGAAAGCCGAGATCCAAAAAGGTTAGGTAACTGGTGACAGTCACCCTGAAAATTGGGGCTATAGATCAGAATATACTCTGGCACAGTCTGACTGTGGTAGAAAACGCCTGTCCCCACCTCCATCTGCCCACGTTGTAACCGCTCACCCTGCCACATCTCATATACCCACCCACGACTTTCAGCTCATGAAATGCCCTCATCACCGTGTTTCCTCCCAACAAAGGCCTAAGCCTTCATGTCCTTTCCTTTATTCTGTCCCGCCCAAAGCCACTGTTTCGCCCCAAACAATTACCTTCATAGAGTTGAAGCTCATCTTTCAAAATGTCAGGCTCCCCATGCTCAGCACCTGGGTGGAGACAAAAACTGTTAGTTAACAGTTAGTTAAAAAAAATTGTTAGTTAACTAACTGTTAGTTAGTTCCCCCCAGTAACAGCACCCCAGAGTGGCTTCCCTCTTCTGGTGTTGGAAGCTTTAAAAAGTAACATAGTCCTTGTGTTGAGGGTGAGGTGAGAGGTTTTCAAGAAGTAAGACGGCCTTACAAGAGGTTTCCTGATACTCTGTCTGACACCCCTCACACATCCTGAGGTGACCATGTTCAACTAAGAAAGAACTGGGGGCCTGAGAGGACCTGAGCCTTGTGCAAAGTCAGTAATGTTAGCCGCCATTTATTGAGCACTTACTATATACCAACACCGAACTAGGTAATTTATGGTTGATATTGCATTAGACCCTCTTGGAAATTCTGTGAAGGAGGTATTAGTACCTCTCCCTCCCCAATTTACAGATAAGGAAACTGAGGCTCACAAAAGTTGTTATTCTCTGAAGGTCACACGGCCAGGAAGTGGCAATTCTAAGGTTCAAATCCAGGTCTGTCACTGAGGTCTGCTTTCCTGGTCATTTTTATCTCCAGAAATAGGACCCAGAGCTCAGGTGCAGAGTCATGGGAACATTTGTTAAACACCTTGTGTGTGTCAGGATCTGTAGTAGGCATTAATCTAGTCTCTTTCCCCCAAGTTCTTTTCTTCCCACGATCAATTTAGGCTAACATTTATTAAAGTTTTTTTTTTAACACAAAAGTATATTTTTCCTATTATAAAAATAAAAGAATCATATCATAAAACATCTATGGTAAAAGTCAGTTCAAAAAAAAGAAAAGAAAAATCCTTCTAATATAACCATCCAGAGATAACCATTATTAACGTTTTGATATTTTGCTTTCCAGTCTTGTTTATAATCACATATGGGTCCTTTTTACAAAATATATGACAAAATGTGGGCAACTGGAGAAGGGAATGGCAAACCACTTCAGTATTCTTGCCTTGAGAACCCCATGAACAGTATGAAAGGCAAAAAGATAGGACACTGAAAGATAAAATCCCCATGTCAGGAGATGCTGAATATGCTACTGGAGAAGAGTGGAGAAATAACTCCAGAAAGAAGAATGGAACCAAAGCAAAAACAACGCCCAGTTGTGGATGTGACTGGTGATGGAAGTAAATTCCAACGCTGTAAAGAACAATATAGCATTGGAACCTGGAATGTTAGGCCCATAAATCAAGGTAAATTGGAAGTGGTCAAGTAGGAGATGGCAAGAGTGAACATCGACACCTTAGGAATCAGTGAACTAAAATGGACTGAAACGGGTGAATTTAACTCAGATGTCCATTATATCTATTACTGTGGGCAAGAATCCCTTAGAAGAAATGGAGTAGACCTTATAGTCAACAAAAAAGTCAGAAACGCATTACCTCAGTGCAATCTCAGAATGACAGAATGATCTCTGTTCGTTTCCAAGGCAAACCAGTGAATATCAGTAATCCAAGTCTATGCCCCAACCACTAATGCTGAAGAAGCTGAATCAGTTCTATGAAGACTTACAAGACCTTCTAGAATAACACCAAGAAAGATGTCCTTTTCATCATAGGGGACTGGAATGCAAAAGTAGGAAGTCAAGATATACCTGGAGTAACAGGCAAGTTTGGCCTTGGAGTACAAAATGAAGCAGGGCAAAGGCTGATGGAGTTTTGCCAAGAGAACACAATGGTCATGGCAAACACCCTCTTCCAACAGCACACAACACAAGAGATGACTCTACACATGGACACCACCAGATGGTCAACACCGAAATCAGATTGATTATATTCTTTATAGCCGAAGATGGAGAAGCTCTATACAGTCAGCAAAAACCCAGAGCTGACTGCGGCTCAGATAATGAACTCCTTATTGCCAAATTCAGACTTAAATAGAAGTAGGGAAAACCACTAGGCCATTCAGGTATTACCTAAATCAAATCTCCTACAGTTATACAGTAGAAGTGACAAACAGATTCAGGGGATTAGAGCTGATAGAGTGCCTGAAGAACTATGGATGGAGGTTTGTGACATTGTACAGAAGGCAGTGATCAAGACCATACCCAAGAAAAAGAAATGCTAAAAGGCAAAATGGTTGTCTGAGGAGGCTTTACAAATAGCTGAGAAAAGAGAAGCTAAAAGCAAAGGAGAAAAGGAAAGATATACCCATCTGAATGCAGAGTTCCAAAGAATAGCAAGGAGAGATAAGAAAGCCTTCCTCAGTGATCAATGCAAAGAAATAGAGGAAAACAATAGAATGAAAAAGACTAGAGATCTCTTCAAGAAAATTAGATACCAAAGGAACATTTCCTGCAAAGATGAGCACAATAAAGGACAGAAATGGTATGGACCTAACAGAAGCAGAAGATATTAAGAAGAGGTGGCAAGACTACACAGAAGAACTATACAAAAAAGATCTTAATGACCCAGATAACCACGATGGTGTGATCACTCACCTACGGCCAGATATCCTGGAGTCTGAAGTCAAGTGAGCCTTATGAAGCATCACTACAAACAAAGCTAGTGGAGGTAATTGAATTACAGCTGAGCTATTTCAAGTCCTAAAAGTTGATGCTGTTAAAGTGCTGCACTCAATATGCCAGCAAGTTTGGAAAACTCAGCAGTGGCCACAGGATTGGAAAAGTTCAGTTTTCATTCCAATCCCAAAGAAAGGCAATGCCAAAGAATGTTCAAACTACCGCACAATTGTACTCATCTCACACACTAGCAAAGTAATGCTCAAAATTCTCCAAGCAAGGCTTCAACAGTACACGAACTAAGAACTTCCGGATGTTCAAGCTGGATTTAGAAAAGGCAGAGGAACCAGAGATCAAATTGCCAACATCCACTGTATCATCGAAAAAGCAAGAGTGTTCCAGAAAAACATCTATTTCTGCTTTATTGACTATGCCAAGGCCTTTGACTGTGTGGATCACAACAAACTGTGGAAAATTCTTAGAGATGGGAATGCCAGACCACCTTACCTGCCTCCTGAGAAATCTGTATGAAGGTCAAGAAACAACAGATAGAACTGCACATGGAACCAGACTGGTTCCAAATTGGGAAAGGAGTACGTCAAGGCTGTATATTGTTACCCTGCTTATTTAACTTATACGCAGAGAACATCATGCAAAATGCAGGGTTGGATGAAGCACAAGCTGTAATCAAGACTGCTGGGAGAAATATCAACAACCTCAGATATGCAGATGACACCACCCTTATGTTAGAAAGTGAAGAGGAACTAAAAAGCCTCTTGATGAAAGTGAAAGAGGAGAGTGAAAAAGCTGGCTTAAAACTCAACTTTCAAAACACTAAGATCATGGCATCTGGTCCCATCACTTCATGGCAAATAGATGGGGAAACAATGGAAACAGTGACAGACTTTATTTCGGGGGGCTCCAAAATCACTGTTGTAGATTGTGACTGTAGCCATGAAATTAAAAGACACTTGCTTCTTGGAAGAAAATCTATGACCAACCTAGACAGCATATTAAAAAGCAGAGACATGGGCGGCCGAGTGCGAGCTTGGAGTGAGAGCGGGAGCGAGCGGCTGGCGTGGGGCGAGGCGCCTGCGCAGTGTCGGGCCCCTGAGCCCGAGGCGCTGAGATAGCCGGGACGGACATGCGCGGGAGGGCGCCGTGGGGCAGCCGCGGCTCTGCTGGGGGAATGAAAGCCACTGGTTGACTGTACGCATCCCTGGGCATTGCAAGTCTGAAGAAGTCCCAGAATAAGGCAGAATGTCCATGGCAGGAGTGGCTGCTCAGGAGATCAGAGTCCCGTTAAAAACTGGATTTCTGCACGATGGCCAAGCCTTGGGGAGCCTGAAGGCCTGCTGGGGTGGCCGCAGCGAGTTTGAGAACAGCTTTTTAAACATCCACCCGATAACCATGGCCTACAGTCTGAACTCGCGGGCGCAGGAGCCGCTAACCTCCATCGGGCGCACCTCCAGATCTACCCCGATGAGCAGCAGCCACTGTGCAGAGCATGGCCCCCCTCCGAAGTCCCGCCTGCCTCCCCTCATCATCCCCCCAAGTGAAGGCTGGGGGCAGCAGGAGGAGGACCGGGTGGCGTGTGGACTGAAGAAGCTGGCGGTGAACGGCGTCTGTGCTGCCACACCCCCGTCAAGAGTCCCCTGTCCCTCTTCTCCAGCCCAGTGCCCTGCGAGCGGGGCTCCCGGCCCCTGCCGCCACTGCCCATCTGCGAGGACCTCGCCCTGGACGAGACGGACTGCGAGGTCGAGTTTCTCACCAGCTCGGACACGGACTTCCTTCTGGAAGACTGCGGGCTCTCCGACTTCAGAGCCGATGGCCCCGGCAGACGCAGCTTCCGAGGATGCGGACACATCAACTATGCATATTTTGACACCCCAACTGCCTCCGCCGTGGATCTCAGCCAGGAACCCGACCAGGTGGCTGGGGTGCCAAGTGCCAACCCCACTCCGCCTCAGGCCCACCGGAGACTGAGGAGGTCTCACTCAGGCCCCGCGGGGTCCTTCAACAAGCCGACCATCAGGATCTCCAGCTCCATGCACAGGGCTTCTCCCAATTCCGACGACGACAAGCCAGAAGTTTCCCCTCGGGTCCCCATCCCTCCCCGGCCGGCCAAGCCAGACTACAGAAGTGGTCGGCCGAGGTCACCTCCAGCACCTACAGCGATGAGGACAGGCCCCCCAAAGTCCCACGGAGAGAGCCCTTGTCCCGGAGCAACTCCCGCACCCCAAGCCCCAAAAGCCTCCCATCTTACCTCAACGGGGTCATGCCCCCCACGCAGAGCTTTGCCCCCGACCCCAAGTACGTGAGCAGCAAAGCCCTGCAGAGACAGCACAGTGAGTGGGCTGCCGGCAAGGCGCCCTGCATCCTGCCCATCATTGAAAATGGGAAGAAGGTGAGCTCCACGCACTACTACCTGCTCCCTGAGAGGCCGCCCTACCTGGACAGATTCAAAAAATTTTTTAGGGAAGCAGAAGAAACACACGGGAACACCCCTGTCCACCCATCCTGGCCCATGGCAGTATCTCTTCAGCCCCAGAAAAGCTGGACCTAAAGCCACGAGTGGACCTGGGAGGCCATGTGAAGCGCAAACATTTCTCCTATGTGGTTTCTCCTTAGACCCTGGAGTCCCAGCTCAGCGGAGGTGCCATGGGAGCGAGTGGTTCTCTCACAGTTCCCCAGACCCATCAAGGTTCCCCAGGAAAATAGTCCAGATCACAGGCTCAGAGAGTCGAACTCTCCGTCTGAACAGGAAGGGCTTAGAGAGTCAGGAGGTGCTGAGGTGCTGAGCATCCCTGACCGTGTGAGCGTCAGAGAAAAGTCTGCTCAAGCCTGTCATTTAAAGATGCGATGCAGGGAGGAAGGACAAGGGACACGCATATGTGTGCACGTTAGATGCCTGCATCTACACTTGTGATAAAATCATAGATTCTAGTTGCAAGTTAACCCAGTAGTTCCTGTCTTAGAGTAATATATATTTAGAACAATAAAACTCAAGCTGGAGGATGGCTCCTGAGAGACTGAAAATTGAGCAAATGGGAGAGAATACAGTATTGTTTAGCTCAGAATCATAAAATATTATATATATATGTTATTATTTTTTTGCATAATAAGGTTGAAGATTGCCAGCTCTGAGGCCTGTTCTGTTTTGTTTCATTTATTTTTACAAGCAGTTTTTCCATGGAAGGCAGGCCATACTTTCTTTCCGTGACTTCACGTGCCTGGTTTAAGTCGTCCTGAGACCTAAATCCTGTAGGTCTTGCTGAAGGGATGGCAGCACCTTTGGTACCGTATTCTCACCTGTCCGGGTCTCATGAAAAATGGGAAGGTAACAGAATAAGTCATTTTTCCTTACCATTCCTTCTCTGTTCCACCCACCCCCAGGAAACGCAGGAAACATGGGGAAAAACAGACTCTTGGCCAGTGTTGAGGATGTCAGTTGAAGCAATAATGAAGCAGTCAGCTGTTGGGTTGAGAGTATCTGTGTGGAGATGTGTGTTGTAGGTTTCTTTTCTTTTTTTTCCCTCCCCTATTTTAGTCGCATATGAATAAACAAATACAACACAAGCTGGCCTTGTGTTGCTGGTTCCTCTTCAGTATTTCCTGGGGATTATTTGCTTTCTAAGTAAAACCCTTCTGACCAACAGCCCAGTATGTCTTAAGACCGGAGGTCACATCATCTACTTTGGAAATTCTCACGGCAGGCTGCTCTGCTCAGATCTGGTGAGACATAAAGCTCGTGTCCCACTTTCACATGCTTCGCTGTGTTTATCTTGTGTAGAGCAGTACAGAAGAGATGGTGCTCATTTACAGAAGTACCTTACTACAATGTTCTCCACATTAAACAAGCTGTTTACAGTTTAAACTGCTGAGTGATGTTATTTGAGCTATTTAAAGCTTATATTTTAGTATGAACTAAATGAAGGTTAAAACATGCTTTAGAAAAAGGCACTGATTTCTGCATTTATGTGTACAGTATTGGACAAAGGATTTTATTCATTTTTTGTTGCATTATTTTGAATATTGTCTTTTCATTTTAATAAAGTTATAATACTTTTTTATGAAAAAAAAATAAAAATAAAAAGCAGAGACATGACTTTGCCAACAAAGGTCCATCTAGTCAAAGCCATGGTTTTTCCAGTAGTCATGTATAGATGTGAGAGCTGGACCGTAAAGAAGGCTGAGTGCCAAATAATTCATGCTTTTGAACTGTGGTGTTGGAGAAGACACTTGAGAGTCCCTTGGACTGCAAAGAGATCCAACCAGTCCATCCTAAAGGAGATCAGTCCTGAATATTCACTGGAGGGACTGATGCCGAAGCTGAAACTCCAACTTTGGCCACCTGATGCCAAGAGCTGACTCATTTGAAAAGACCCTGAGGCTGGGAAAGATTGGAAGGGGACGACAGAGGATGAGATGGTTGGATGGCATCACTGACTCAATGGACATGAGTTTGAGTAAACTCTGGGAGTTGGTGATGGACAGGGAGGCCTGGTGTGCTGCAGTCCATGAGGTCACAAAGAGTGACTGAGCGACTGAACTGAACTGATACGAGATCAAACCAACCCGATGATTTGAATTTCTCTTTTTCGCTTTAGAGATGGATGAAGACCAGAGCTCTGACCAGGACAGGGTGGAGCATAGCTGATCTGTGCTGCTGCTGTTGGACATTAGGCTGTTTCTGTGATTGCCCTACTATAAACAATGCTGCAAGGAACATCTTCACGCAGACACACTCAGTCTACTGAGTGGACAATGGAGAAATGGTGAGGCCTGCTGCCTACCGGGTGAGCCGCCCCTGCGGGGGAGTCCAGCCCCCTGGCTGTGCCGACGTTCTCTGGTCACGCGGGGGTGCTGGTCCTCATCACTGTTCTCTGCAGGGAACAAACACACGCTGTAGGAGAATTCAGCCTGGACTGAGCCAGAAATACTTCCTTCTGGTGTTGGTTCTTGGAATTTAGTTTATGTGAACAGAATGGTCTGGGGGAAAGAAGTCTGCTTTGAGGGCTGGGGGACAGGAACTGTCACAGACTTTCTGTGTGACCTTGAACAAATCACTTACTATTTCTATTAAGACTTTCATGATGATAAGACAAGGCCCACAAGGCACTTATGAGGTGCATTTGCTCGTGCTTGGTCTCCCACCTGGAACGTGTGCTTCCACTTGCTCCCTTATCCTGAAGTTAACCTAGGGTAACACCTCCTGTAGAGGGGCTTTTCTAGTTGTCCCAGCACACCATCTTGCCCACCCTCCCCAGCAGGTGGGATCTTAGTTCCTCAACCAGGAATCAAGCCTGTGCTCCCTGCATCCCTGCATTGGAAGCGCTGAGTCTTAAGCACTGGACTACCAAGGAAGTCCCTCCTCTGGGGTTTCTATAGTGTCAGCTGTCTGAGCTTGACACAGTGGGCATAAGGGTCCATGGTGCTATTCATCCCTCCAACCACCTTGAGTTCTGGAAGGACAAGGCAGGGCATCAGTGTGCTAAGGTTGCCCAGCCTGGTGCAGGAACTTGATCAAGCCTTGAAGAATGACTGAGTCATCTGCACTCTTGGATCAGTCAGCATTCCAGGGATTCAGGCCTAGGAGTTTCTGGCTTCGGGTCCAGGGGACTCCCTTTCCCTTGGGATGATTAACAAAGCCCCAGCAGTCCTAATGTCCCGCACTGTGCTTGGCATAGGGCTTCCCTCGTAGCTCAGTTGGTAAAGAGTCTGCCTGCAATGCAGGAGACATGGGTTCAATTCCTGGGTCAGGAAAATTACCTGGAGAAGGAAATGGCAACCCACTCCAGTGTTCTTGCCTGGAGAGTCCCATGGACAGAGGAGCAGGTTACAGTCTATGGGGTCGCAAGAGTCAGACATGACTGAGCAACTAAACACACACAGTGTTTGGGAAACTTCCGGTCTATACGGATAAAATTTTAAATTCCAGGAAAGCAAGCTAACTGTGCTTACAAATCAGTTGCATATGTGATCTCAACCAGGAATGGGAAGTACATAAAGATAACAATGGGGGACCTCCCTGGTGGTCCAGTGACTGACTGTACTGCCGGTTCAGGGAGCCTGGGTTTGATCCCTGGTCAAGGAACTAGATCCCACATGCCACCATAACTAAGACTTGGTGCAGCTAAATATTTTTAATAAGATAACAATAATAGTATTTATCTCAGGGGATAAGATTTTGAGAGGCTTCTATTTTCTTTTCTGTATTTTATAAACATTAATCAATGTCCCCCAAAGGCTTTTTCATCACTTTTTGCAAAATATCAAAGAATACAGAAAATAAGAAAACAAAAATTACTCCAAATTCTATCCAACAGGGATGACCTCCGTTCATACACAAACAAAAATTATTTTAGCTTTCTCCATGATATATTCATAATATGTAATCTTTAAAAGTTGTTCAAGGATTGTTTTTTCTTTTCCATTATGATTTATTATAGGATATTGAATACAGTTTCCTGTCCATAATTTTTAATAAAAGGTATTATAGAATTGTATGCTGTCTAGAATGAGGATAATTTTTCTATGTGCTAATTCTATTATTTAAAAAATTAACTTGAGCAGAAAAAAATCACAGTTAGTTGCTGGTCCCCCCAGTAACCATCACAGAGCCTGGCACATGGTTGATGTTCAATAAATATTTATTGATGGGCATTCCCTGGCAGTCCAGTGGTTAGGACTCCATGCTTTCACTGCAGAGGGCCTGGGTTTGATCCCTAGACAGGAACTTAAGATCCCACGAGCCGTGCAGTGTGGACAAAAAATATATATGCATATACAATTTAATATATATTGAATAAATGTAAGGAGATACACTAATATGTGTTTAGTGATTATCTAATAGAACAAAGGATGTTTTTCTTTCTTCTTGCTACTTCTTTATATATTTCACATTTTCTATAATCTGCCCATGTGTAATCTTTTACAATAAAAAAGTTTTAATTAAAAAATAATAGGCTGCATTAAGAACAAATAGATATGTAGGGAGAGTGGTGTTGGATGCCAGACTCTGAGTTAGGGTCCTTTGTGTGGAGGGGGCTTGGGGGCAGCTGGGAGACACTAGGGCTCCGGGCCCTGAAGACTAATGGTCTGTCTCAGTCTGAAGAATGCTCAGGGTCTAAGATAGAGTGACAGGCCACCAGGCTCAGAGACCAGGATCCTGAATGTCAGTCTGTCTTGATGGTTCCACGACTCTGTTTGTTTTCCTGATGCTTTCTCTTAGTGCCCGGAGAAGGAAATGGCAACCCACTCCAGTATTCTTGCCTGGAGAATACCATGGACAGAGGAGCCTGGCGGGCTACAGTCTATGGAATTGCAAAAGAGTTGGACACGACTGAGCAACTAAATGCTAACAACAATAAATCCTATGAGATAATAAATTTTGTTATGGTCTCCATCTGATGGATGAGGACCCCAGGACACACGGGTTTAAGCAATTTACCCACAAAGCTGTCAGTGGTAAAGAAAGCATGTGAACCCAGGCAGGCTGCTGGAACACACACATGCATTGCGTCTTGTTCCAAAGTGCTCCTAAGAAACTAAGATGTTCCTTGACATGAGATGCAGTCGCTTGAGGGGCTATATGGGAAACACAAAAGAATAGTTGCTAAGATATTATGGACTAACACGGCAAAATGCTCAGGATAAGACAGTGAAGACATTGTAAACTGAGGACAAAACTGTCTCTGTGGGAGTTATAACTGCACAAACCGTGTGTATGGAGAGGCAGGCTCAGGAAGGGAATGTGGGAAACTGGAACTGCAATACCGAGGTGGGAGAGGACAGGAGATTGTTCTTTACATGTAAATGCTTGTCTTCAAAGATATTTTAGTATATATGTATTTAATTAAGTCATTGCTTTACCTGAGGAAGAGGAGGAGGACGAGGAGGACGAGGAGGACGAGGAAGAAGAGGAGGAAGACTTGTCTCTCTCATCTTGTCCTTGAGAAACGAGTCTGGCCCCCTGGTCTTGCTTGTGGAAATCCGTCTCTCCATCTGGGAGGCACACGCAGTTAAGGAGGAGTATTTCCTGCCCTTCCCACCCCAGGGATCACCCAGGCCTTCCCAGGGGTCTACGTGGACTTGGGGATCCAGGAGTGGCTGGATTCTCTGGGGTACTCTTCCCAAACCCCTAGGGCCCATGGGAGGTGCAGGAGATCAGGGCTCTTGGAGGCTCCAGAGGCTCTAAGAAGGCCCAAAAACAGACATTTCTCTGAATATGGAGCCCACAGAGGGGCTTCTAAGCCCGTCATCCTTTCCAAGAGACCACTACACCGTGTAGGTGGTGGTGGTTTAGTTGCTCAGTTGTGTCCGACTTTTTTTACACCGCATGGACCGTAGCCCACCAGGCTCCTCTGTCCATGGGATTTTTCAGGCAACAATGCTGGAGTGATTTGCCATTTCCTTCTCTAGGGGAGCTTCCTGACCCAGGGATCAAACCCTCATCTCCTGTATTGCAGGTGGATTCTTTACCGCTGAGTCACCAAGGAAGCCCACACTGCAGAACAGTTGCCAATTTAAAATTCTCTGTAAATTACAGAGCAAGTGGGATCCAATCAAGCCCTAAACCTTCCCATTCTGGGGCCACGCGGTACCCTTCCCCTCTTCTGGGGACTCTCCCTAATGCCAGTCCAAGCTCCCAGAGCCTCTGAGATTTGGGGGAGCAACTGGGGTTCCCACTGCTAGAGTGCTGGGGGACAGACTGGACCAAGCACACAGATGTGCAAGTGCATAAAACCACTACTTCTCTAGAGGTTTCAACTGTAACTTGGGCCATTCATTGGGCCACATGAGCTGGGCAGGGTCTTCTGCTCCAGCCACTGCTGGACTCTCCTTCCCATGCAGCTTTGCCCAGAGGGTTACAGAGCGAACATACAGTCTAGATCTTCTGATTCTCCATGAGCTCGACTATGGTCTTGAAGGGATCTTGAAGTCTCCATGGCTTTCCCTGGAGGAGGTAGTTAATATTACCTTAGTTAATATCCTTAATATATAAACAGTTTGGCAAATAAATAAGAAAAATACAAACACCCAAAGGTACAAGAAGAACAATTCACAAAAACAGAAACACAAAAATAGAGACACCTGAGTCATGATCAACTTTTGATACTATTAAGAACTTATTTTTTAAATAGGCTTTAGTTTTTAGAGCAGCTCACAGCAAAACTGTTTTTCTCCAGTTCTTTGTGTTGTTCACTTAAGAAGGCTTTCTTATGTTTCCTTGCTATTGTCCGGAATTCTGCATTCAGTTGAGGGTACCTTTCAAATTGTGGTGCTGGGGAACACTCCTGAGAGTCCCTTGGACTGCAAGAAGATCAAACCAGTCAATTCTAAAGGAAATCAACCCTGAATATTCATTGGAAGGATTGATGTTCAAGTTGAAGCTTCAATACTTTGGCCATCTAATGCGAAGAGCCAATTCATTGGGAAAGACCTGATGCTGGGAAAGATTGATGGCAGGAGGAGATGGGGTGATAGAGAGTGAGATGGTTGGATGGCATCATGAACTCAAAAGACATGAGCTTGAGCAAACTCCGGGAGATGGTAAAGGATAGGGAAGCCTGGCACACTGCAGTCCACTGGGTCTCAAGGAATTGGATACAACTTGGTAACTAAACAGCAACAAACAACAATACACAAAAATTAAATGGAGGGTACAAAGATTGCCCATATACCCTCTGTTTCTAAACATGTACAGCCTCTCCCTGTTATCGACATCCTCCATTAGAGAATTTATTTTTTTAGGTGTGATATTTAAGTTGAGGTTATATTTATTTAAAATATCCTTCAGGACTTCTCTGGTGGTCCAGTGGATAAGAACCCACCTGCCAATGCAGGGGACACAGGCTGATCCCTGATCCGGGAAGATTCTACAGGCTGTGGGTCAACTAAGCCCATGCGCCACAACTACTGGAGCCTGAAAACCTAGAGCCCATGCTTCACAACAAGAGAAGCCACCGTAATCGGAAATCCACACACCACAAAAAAGAGGAGCACCCATGCAGCATCTAAAGACCCAGCACAGCCAAAAATAATTAAAATATCCTTCAATTTAGAGATAAACATTGAAATATTTATGATGAAATTATACGATGTCTGGGCCATGCTTCAAAATAATCTGATTATCTGAATAAGGGAGTTGGAGGGCACGGTCGGGGGGAATCCGAATACAACAGGACAAGTTAATAACTGTTGGAGCTATATCAAAATATAAATAGTTGGGAATTCCCTAGAGGTCCACATATATAAATATATATAGTTATCTCTGAGACTTTATATACACATACAGTTATTTCTGAGTGGTAGCATTATGGGTAATTTTAGTTTCTCATTTTCACTTTGAATTTTCTAAATTTTTAACAGTACTGCTTTTGTTACAATAAAATAACAATTTTTTTTTATAACTTAAAATGTTATATGCTACCTTACATCAGTATAGTACTAAACAGTTTTACAAAGGGTTTATATGTTCATAATTCCACCTGAGCCAGATCACAAACCAATCTGGAAAGAATTGGGATTAATTACTTCACATTTGAATTATAGTTTCTAGATAACAAAACTTTGCAAAAGATTGTCGCATTTAACCTTTACTAGAACCCTGCAAGGTAAATTTTATCATCCTCTCTTGACAGAGGAGGAAACTGAGACTCAAAGAGATGAAGTAACTTGAGACTCCAGAACCCACATTTTGTTTAATGCAACCCCAAACATTGGTTTGGAGCCCAGAACTGCTCAAAGGCCATCATGCAGTGAGGCCCTGCTGGAATACCTGTTGGGATTACAGACATAAGTGGTGAAAGCCAGGGCAGGAAGCAGGCACTTGGAGCTGCAGAATGAGATTTGGGAACCTGTCCCTTCAGGACACCACACCCTGTGCTTTCCTGAAGTTCTGAGTGGGTGCTGGTGGTAACTCGAAGAGGGCCTTCAAGTGAGGCCCTGAGAAGGCTGGATGTGTGGCCTCAGAAAATCTAAACAGCTAACATCAGTGAGCTGGTGCCCTTTTTTAGAGGAAACATATGGAGCTGCCATGGTTGGGCTGCCCCCTCAAAGCCTTAATTTTAGCTTGGCACATGGCCATCCAGCCAAGGACAATATTTCCCAGCATCCCTGGAGGCTAGATTTGGCTAAGGGATGGCTAGATTTGACTCATGTTCCTGCCGATAGAATGAGTGGATGGGAACTGTGTAGTGGGGAGCTGACAAGATGTTCTGTGGTTCTGGGGGGAAAATACACACACAAACACATACACACATACATCTGCAATAAATTTTACTGATGTAAAGAATGGATGGGGGGTAAATTAGGAATTTGGGATTAACAGGTACACACCGCTGTATGTAAAATAAACAACAAGGACCTACTATATAGCACAGAAAACTATATTCAGTATCTTATAATAACCTCTAATGGAAAAGAATCTAAAAGAGAATAGCTATAAATGTACATGTATAACTGAATCACTTTGCTGTTCACCTGAAACACTGCAAATCAACTATATTTCAAGAAAAAAAACAATAAAAATTTTAAAAGAATGCATAGCACACAAATAATAAAAATAAGGTCCTCTGTATTGTGAATTTCATATACAACAAGTAGAATGTAATGCCTACAGTTTTGAGGCTTAATATACATTATTCACATTTGCTTGACCACTTTCTTAAATTCAGACAATCAACAGAGCAAACTGTAAAGTTCTGATTTGCATAGGTTACTGATTTCTGTGATATAAACACTCCCACTGACTGATACCGATGTGATGTCACTGAATGCAAAGCTGGGAAGAGGTGGGCCGTGGAACACAAATAGCACTGTGCAGTGTTTCCACCATATACATAGAACCTGCGAAAGCCTCAAGTGCCCATGTAACAGCAGAATGTAGTAAAATAAATTAGGAAGTGATACATTTTAAGTACTTATTAGCCTTGCTTGTTGTAGGATTTAGTTAATTTATAGAACTTAATTTAATTTAAAACTGGTTGTGTTTAACAACCTGCTCCCCCAATTCCTAAAGACTTAACAATAGGTTCCTGCGAATGGGAATCCGGTTTCAGTTCTGGGCTCCTAAACTTCTGCAACTTCCGCTTCCTCCTTTCTGCCTTTTGTATGCTGGTCTGCGGCGGGGGGCCAATCTCCGTGACACAAGCCAAGTCAACACTCCAGGGAAGCCCTGAGCAACGAGGCAAAGGAACCTGGGCCCAAGGCCTTGGGCTTAGAGCCGCCTGCCCGCCTGGACCTGCCTCTGGCTGGCCACCTGCACAGGAATCAGCTTCTCTCTTCTCTGAGACTGGGATTCGGTATTTGTTACAGCATCTTAGCCAAGCTGTGCTGGCTTTGTTTTGAAGACCCCTACCCCACCCCATTTCTTCTCCTCCCAGCTTTGAGTCTAGGGATTCAACTCTGACAGGAGGTAGATTCACTTCTCTCTGACTAGTTTGGACCCGGGTCTCAACCTCCAAACTCCTCACATTTGGGGCCAATGCTCCTTTGTCAGTGTACATGTTGTATGGCGTTCAGCATCCTCCCCGCTAGATGCAGGGAGCACCCCACCCCGCCCCAGTTGTGACAATCAAAACATCACCACACATTACCAAGTGTCTCCTGGGGGTAAAAATCATGTCTACTTGGGAACTGCTGGTCTACGGAACCTACTTTATTATTATTATTATTATTATTTTTAATGGAACCTACTTTAAAAATATGTGTATTTTATTTATTTGGCTGCACTGGGTCTTAACTTGCGGCCCGTGGGATCTTTGGTTGCCGTGTGTGGGATCTAGCTCCCTGCCTAACCAGGGATAGAATCTGAGCCCCCTGCATTGGGAGCATGGAGCCTTAGCCCCTGGACCACCAGGGAAGTCCCCAAGAGAAACCACTCTTTAAAAAATGTTTGTTGTAATCAATCAATGTAATACACCACATTAACAAATTGAAAGATAAAAACCATATGATTATCTCAATAGATGCAGAAAAAGCCTTTGATAAAATTCAACATCCATTTATGATTAAAACTCTCCAGAAAGCAGGAATAGAAGGAACATACCTCAACATAATAAAAGCTATATATGACAAACCCACAGCAAGCATCACCCTCAATGGTGAAAAACTGAAAGCATTTCCCCTGAAATCAGGAACAAGACAAGGGTGCCCACTCTCACCACTACTATTCAACATAGTTTTGGAAGTTTTGGCCACAGCAATCAGAGCAGAAAAAGAAGTAAAAGGAATCCAGATAGGAAAAGAAGAAGTGAAACTCTCGCTGTTTGCAGATGACATGATCCTCTACATAGAAAATCCTAAAGACTCTACCAGAAAATTACTAGAGATAATCAACGAATACAGTAAAGTTGCAGGATATAAAATTAACACACAGAAATCTCTTGCATTCCTATACACTAACAATGAGAAAACAGAAAGAGAAATTAAGGAAACAATACCATTCACCATTGCAACAAAAAGAATAAAATACTTAGGAGTATATCTACCTAAAGAAACAAAAGACCTATACATAGAAAACTATAAAACACTGATGAAAGAAATCAAAGAGGACACAAACAGATGGAGAAATATACCTTGTTCATGGATTGGATCAATATTGTCAAAATGGCTATACTACCCAAAGCAATCTACAGATTCAATGCAATCCCTATCAAACTACCAACGGTATTTTTCACAGAACTAGAACGAATAATTTCACAATTTGTATGGAAATACAAAAAACCTCGAATAGCCAAAGTAATCCTGAGAAAGAAGAATGGAACTGGAGGAATCAATCTGCCTGACTTCAGACTATACTACAAAGCCACAGTCATCAAGACAGTATGGTACTAGCACAAAGACAGAAATATAGATCAATGGAACAGAATAGAAAGCCCAGAGATAAATCCACGAACCTATGGTCACCTTATCTTTGACAAAGGAAGCAAGGATATACAATGGATAAAAGACAACCTCTTTAACAAGTGGTGCTGGGAAAACTGGTCAACCACCTGTAAAAGAATGAAACTAGAACACTTTCTAACACCATACACAAAAATAAACTCAAAATGGATTAAAGATCTAAATGTAAGACCAGAAACTATAAAACTCCTAGAGGAGAACATAGGCAAAACACTCTCCGACATAAATCACAGCAGGATCCTCTATGACCCACATCCCAGAATTTTAGAAATAAAAGCAAAAATAAACAAATGGGACCTAATGAAACTTAAAAGCTTTTGCACAACAAAGGAAACTATAAGCAAGGTGAAAAGACAGCCCTCAGATTGGGAGAAAATAATAGCAAACGAAGCAACAGACAAAGGATTAATCTCAAAAATATACAAGCAACTCCTCCAGCTCAACTCCAGAAAAATAAATGACCCAATCAAAAAATGGGCCAAAGAACTGAACAGACATTTCTCCAAGGAAGACATACAGATGGCTAACAAACACATGAAAAGATGCTCAACATCACTCATTATCAGAGAAATGCAAATCAAAACCACAATGAGGTACCATTACACACCAGTCAGGATGGCTGCTATCCAAAAGTCTACAAGCAATAAATGCTGGAGAGGGTGTGGAGAAAAGGGAACCCTCTTACACTGTTGGTGGGAATGCAAATTAGTACAGCCACTATGGAAAACAGTGTGGAGATTTCTTAAAAAGCTGGAAATAGAACTGCCATATGACCCAGCAATCCCACTTCTGGGCATACACACTGAGGAAACCAGATCTGAAAGAGACACGTGTACCCCAATGTTCATCGCAGCACTGTTTATAATAGCCAGGACATGGAAGCAACCTAGATGCCCATCAGCAGACGAATGGATGAGGAAGCTGTGGTACATATACACCATGGAATATTACTCAGCCATTAAAAAGAATTCATTTGAATCAGTTCTAATGAGATGGATGAAACTGGAGCCCATTATACAGAGCGAAGTAAGCCAGAAAGATAAAGACCATTACAGTATACTAACACATATATATGGAATTTAGAAAGATGGTAACGATAACCCTATGTGCAAAACAGAAAAAGAGACTCCTATGTATAGAACAGACTTGTGGACTCTGGGAGAAGGTGAGGGTGGGATGTTTCAAGAGAACAGCATCGAAACACGTATATTATCTAGGGTGAAACAGTTCACCAGCCCAGGTTGGGTGCATGAGACAAGTGCTCGGGCCTGGTGCACTGGGAAGACCCAGAGGGATCGGGTGGAGAGGGAGGTGGGAGGGGGGACCGGGATGGGGAATACATGTAAAAAAAAAAAAAAAGATACACTATGGTTGTGAAAAAAAAAAATAAGTAAATAAAATGTATGATTTACTAAAAAAAAAAAAAATTAAAAAAAAAAATGTTTGTTGTTGTTTAATCACTTAGTTGTGTCTGACTCTCTGCGACCCTAAGGACTGTAGCCCACCAGGCTCCTTTGCCCATGGGATTCTCCAGGCAAGAACACTGGAGTGGGTTGCCATTTCCTTCTCCAGGGGATCTTCCTGAGCCAGGGATCAAATCCAAGTCTCTTGTGTTGGCAAGTGGATTCTTAATCACTGAGCCACCAGGGAAGCCCTAAAAATTCTTTTCAATTTAATTAAAATTTTTTATTGAGGTATAATGCTCCTATAACATTATATTAGTTTCAGGGGCAAAACATAATGATTCTATGTTTGTAAATGCTGTAAAATGATCACCACACTAAGTCTAGTTAGCCTCTGTAACCTTACATAGTTAAACAAAAATTTTCTCTTGTGATGAGAAATTTTAACGTCTATCCCCTTAGCAACTTTCCAATATGCAACAGAGTATTTTGAACTAATAGCCTCCATGCTGTACATCACACTCCCAGAACTTTTTTATTGTATAACTAGAAGTTTGTAGCTTTTGACCCCCTTCACCCATTCCCACCCACCCGCCACCTCTGGCAACCACCAATCTCTTTTCTGTACCTATGAGTTCACGGGGGGTTTTTTTGTCTTTGGTAGAGAATCTACTTTTAATCCACCACAAGACCCAGACAAGACAGCATCTTTCCCTAAGCCTCAGAGCTGGACAGCCTGGGTGTGAACCCTGACCCTTGTAGCTGTGGGATTCCGGGCCAGTGACTTAACTTCTTGTGGACCTTAGGTTCGTCATCTGCAAAATGAGGACAATAATAGTGCTTACCTCACAGTGTATTGTTGTGAGAATGGCATGAGTTAAAACCCATAGAGCCCTCAGAACAATGCCTGGTATAGAGCAGGGAGTGAATAAATGCCAGCTGAGATGACAATCATTATTATGATGCAGGCAGCAAGAAGACGGCATGTGCTGTGTGGAGCAGGGTTCAACCTCACTTCCCTCACTTGTGCACAGGATGACCCTGACCGGGTGGTCCCCTTCTCCAAGTTCTAGTTACCTCAATTGTGAACTGTGATGGTAGCACCTTAGAGAAGAAAGCTGGCCAGTGCCTGCCCGAAGGAGGGCTCCATAAGTATGAGTTCTCTCTTCCATAGACCTCCTATGACCCTTGGGCATTCGGGGTCCAGCCCCAGTCCCTCCCATCTCCCATCTCCTAGATGCCAGGCTCCATTACCCTTTTCTGGAATAAAAATTCCCATTTCTCAGGGCAGAATTCAGCTCAGCATTAGGAAGTCACTAGCCAATAAAATGAACCGATGTCTAGGTATGAATAAATGATGACCACGAGCCCCAGGGTGTATCTATATTTTGAAGAGGATTCCTTGTACATAGGTGTCCAGTACATCTCAGAGGCTGAGATCATCTCTCATGGTGGAATTTCAGGGGGAAGAAGAGACTCAGAGCTGTATGTGGGCAAGTGAGCTACTGGATGATGCCAAACATGTCAATAGTTCGCCAAGCTGGTCCTACCTCTTGCCTGCTTTAGCTGTCTTGCTCATGTGGTAGCCCCTGGGCACACTCACACTTGCAGGCCCCCAGACCTCCACTGAGGCCATTCTTCCTTGTTGCCAAAATTGTACATGACTTTCCAGGCACAGCGCAAATACCACCTCATTCATGAACCCTCTGCTGACGGGGTCTAACCAGAAACTACCCTCCTTCCCCCCACCCCCTTAATCCTTCTGCCTGCCATCACCCCTGGACTTCCTTCTTGTTAACAAAACTGAACTCTGTTCCTCCATATCAAGTAGATGGGCTTCCCTGGTGGCTCAGATGGTAAAGAATCTGCCTGCAATGTGGGAGACCTGGGTTCAAACCCTGGATTGGGAAGATTCCCCCAGAGAAGGAAATGGCAACCCACTCCAGTATTCTTGCCTGGAGAATTCCATGTTCAGAGGAGCTTGGCCGGCTACAGTCCATGGGGTCTCAAAGAGTCGGACATGACTGAGAAACTAACACTTTGGGTTTCACAGGTGGCATTGGTGATAAAGAACCCATTTCCCAATGCAGGAGACATAAGAGACAGGGGTTTGATCCCTGGGTTGGGAAGCTCCCCTGAAGGAGGGAATGGCAACACATTCCAGTATTCTGGAGGTGGGTACCCACTCCAGTGGGTATCCAGAATCCCATGGACAGAGGAGCGTGGCGGGCTACAGTCCATGGGGTCATAGAGTTGGACATGACTGAAGCAAGTGAAAAAGCGGGCTTAATACTCAACATTCAAAAAACAAAGAACATGGCATCTGGTCACATCACTTCATGGCAAATAGATGGGGAAACAATGGTAACAGTGGCAGACTTTATTTTCTTGGGCTTCAAAATCACTGCAGATGGTGACTGCAGCCATGAAATTAAAAGATGCTTGCTCCTTGGAAGAAAAGCTATGACAAACTTAGACAGTATATTAAAAAGCAGAGACATTACTTTGCCAACAAAGGTCCATCTAGTCAAAGCTATGGTTTTTCCAGTAGTCATGTATAGATGTGAGAGTTGGACCATAAAGAAAGCTGAACACTGAAGAATTGAAGCTTTTTTTTTTTTTTTTTTTTAGAATTGATGCGTTTGAACTGTGGTATTGGAAGAGACTCTTGAGAGTCCCTTGGACAGCAAGGAAATCCAACCAGTTAATCCTAAAGGAAATCAGTCCTGAATATTCATTGGAAGGACTGATACTGACACTGAAGCTCCAATACTTTGGCCACCTGATGCAAAGAACTGACTCACTGGAAAAGACCCTGACACTGGGAAAGACTGAAGGAGGGAGGAGAAGGGGACAACAGAGGATGAGATGGTTGGATGTCATCACTGACTTGATGGACATGAGTTTGAGCAAGCTCTGGGGGTTGGTGATGGACAGGCAAGCCTGGTGTGCTGCATTCCATGGGGTCACAGAGAGTCAGACACGACTAAGTGACTGAACTGAACTGAACTGAAGTGACTTAGCATGCAAGCATGCAACAAGTAGATACTTGTTTTCCCTGTGAGGAGTGGCCATATGATCCAGTTTTTGCCAAAAAGAAGTGAAAAGTCTGATGGGGTTTTGGGAAGGAGTTTTGCTTCTCCTGACAAAAGAGGCCAACAGTACTGGTGCTGTGTCTTGCCTCTCCTTTCTTTCTTGAATGTGATGGCAGGAGCCACAGTGGCAATTCTGTGACCTTGAGGGAAACCCAAAGTTAATGCAGGGACATTGAGCTGCAGCTCTTGACAGCAGCCGCCTGCTTTTTAGTTATTTAAGAAAAACAAACCCTGTTTTGTTTAAGCCTCGTTAGTCAGGAGTCTCAGCATTTGTAGCTGAAAACAATTCTGACTGATATACTTTCCCTCCCGTACCTTCATACATTAATTGAGTATCAACTGTGTGCTTAGGCTAGGGTGATGGCACTAGTGGTAAAGAACCCGCCTGCCAATGCAGAAAACATAAGAGAGGCAAGTTTGATCCCTGGGTCGGGAAGATCCCCTGGAGGAGGGCATGGCAACCCACTCCAGTATTCTTGGCTGGAAAATCCCATGGACAGAGGAGCCTGGCAGACCACAATCCATATGGTCACAAAGAGTCGGACACAACTGAGCAACTTAGTACACAGTACGTATTATGTGCTAGCACCAGGGATACCATGGTGAATAAGTTGCATCCTTGTCTTCAAGGTATTTCATAGTAGATGGAGGGTGGGGGTGGACTGGGGGTGGTAGTCCCATGGGAGCCCAGGGGCCAAATCACATCAGGGTCAGAGTTTCTGAAGAAGGGAATGCTGAAGGAGAGCTTGGAAGGGCCAGAAGGAGCAGTGTACAAAGGCACAGAGTCGAAGGGCCTTGGCCCACATTGGAAACAGTTGGCAGGAAGCAGCTCCAAAGAAGGACACGATTTGGGGGAGGCCTAGGGGGTACATTGTTCTCCTGAGCCTACGTTAGCCGTGTCTTGTGTCAGAATCTTCCTTCTCGAGGCCCTGACTTGCTGCACAGCTGCTAGAGCCACTGTTGCTATTCACTTTCTGATCCCTGCTCAGGGCCTGGGAGAGGGTCTGACACACCCAGGGTGCGTCTCCTGCACTAGATCACTAACCAGCCAGGGAAGGGATTACAGCTGATTCATCTCCGTGTAACCTGCGCCTTTCACAAGGCCTGGCAGAAAACAAAAATGATGACATGGATGATGATGAAGACAGTAACAAACAAGTGCTTCCTATCTGTCAGGCAAGGATCTGAGCACACAACACATGTGCCTCACATACGCCTCATCACAGCTCTATCAGGGCCCACCGCGCTTGTGCTCACTTTACACGTAAGAACCTGGAGGCAAAGAGAGGCTAAGAAACTTGACCAGGGAGCTAGTAAGTGGTTGAGCAAGGGTAGTTGCTTAGTCCATGTTGATGCCGGCAGCTCTTCCCAGGCCTCTGTCATTAGCACCAGGAAAGAAGCCACAGACAGTCGTTGGAGTGTTATGCAAATGACACCGACTTGGCTTCTATTGACACTTAGCCCACTGGAGCCCTGAGCAAGTGTCCCCAGAACCCAAGGAGCTTCCTCAAGCAGTTTTCAGGACACTGAAATGGACAGGAGGGGAAACAGAATGCTCATGGAGGCAGGACCGGAGGGAGCCCTGTTTCTCCTCTTAATGTCCTTACTCATCCCTCCTTCGCCCATATTCCTGCCCATGAGAAAGGATAAGCAGAACTGTAAAGGTGTAAAACCCTTAAAATCAGTGTGCAGGGTGAGGCTTAAAACAAAAGGACAGTGTACTAGGGGTGGGACATCAAACAGAGGGATTGATGCCAGGGGCTTCTGAAAGTCAAGTTCACAGCCTATGACCTCTTTTGAACCAAGATGGAGCACAGGGAGTTGATACAGGAGAAGTGAAGGAAAAGAAAGCAGAGAGAGGAGAGAGCGCATGGTGTGATCCCGGAGGCACGGCATGGGGGGTCTCAGTTCCGCAAACAGGGATCAAACCCATGCTCCCCGTAGCGGAAGCGCAGAGTCTTAACCACTGGACTACCAGGGAGTTCCCAGTACCCACGATCTCATTTCACACACATTACTCTTATTTTACGCAGGAAGAAACTGAGGTTCAGAGAGACAAATGACTTGTTCAAGGTCTCCTAGCTTACAGATGGACTCGCATCTATTCCCTTCCCTAACATGACGCCCCGTTCCCCGGTCCTGGTTAGAGGCCTGTAGGCTTCTCTCTTTCAGGCGCCTGCCCCCATTCTGAGGCTGGTCCAACAAGGACATGCAATACTTAGCATTTTCCTCTGCAAACCTCAGCCCTGCTGAGTCACTGGTGGTGCCAGGGCCGCTGCACCCACAGGCTTTGTTAAACTGGATTTCCACGTCAGTTCAGCCCAGATTTTCTAAGCTTCCACTATTACAAGGGTGGGAAGGACAGTAAGCTGAGCCTTTACAGCTTCACAGCGCCTTCCCTGCCCAGCTAGGGTGGGGCATCGGTGTCTGGGTTAACAGATGGGGAAACTGAGAATGGAGAGGAACTTGCACAGGGTCACATAGCGAGTCAGGGGCAAGGCTGGCTCCAGAACCCTGTCTCCCAATTCACGGGTTGCTTATCTTCCTCAGGTGTCCCACCTTGGAGGAGAGGGCTGACTAAGACTGAGTTGGATTTTTTAAGTCTTTATTTATTTGGCTGTGCCAGGTCTTAGCTGCAGCATACAGGATGCTCAGTCTCCACGGCAGCACATGGGTTCTTTAGTTGCAACCTATAGGATCTAATTCCCTGACCAGAGATTGAATCCTGGCCCCTTCATGGGGAGCATGGAGTCTTAGCCACTGGAGCACCAGGGAGGTC